ATCTTTCTCTTTGTGTCAGTGCCTTTGCTGTTCTCTGATAAGGGGTAACTTGTGAGATGGTGGTTTCTAAAAGTGCAGAGTTTGTGTAAAAAAGGGGGTATCTGTGAAGAGTTTTTTGATTTTTGTATATGCAATGGAAAACAGCAAATTTGACTTTTTAGCACTTTTTTCGAAAATGATAACTCCTCATAGAGATGTTCTTTTAACACAATCCCTGCACTTTTGGAAACTGTGGATCAAAAGACTTACTGTATTGCTTGCTCGAAATTTTATCGCAAGTTTTCAAATTTTTAGCGGCGTAACTCTATAAAGTCTAAGTCGAAGTGATATTACTCTCCTGCTTCCATTTCAAAGTTACCCCTTATTAGAAAGCAACAAAGGCACTATCACAAAGAGAAGGTTTCCTCTATCTGGTAATATCAGCTTGTGCAAATCTAGGGAGGAAGTGATGACTGGAAGTGATGTTTTTTCAAACATGAAACCACAGAACAACTGTCAACCTAATACATGTACTACATAATGTTTTGGAATAGCCTCATATTAATTTCCGGATACCCAAAAGACCTATAGTTGGCGGTAGTAAGGAAGCAAATTGAATTTTTGAGCTTTATTGCACTAAATCACTTTTCTTTTCTCTTACATTTATTAAAAGACAGATGATTGTTAGTGTGCTAGATAACCAACATCGGTGTAGTCATATGCTTACCGTATTGATTGAACCATCGAAAAAGCCTTGAAAACTTCAGTGAGTTTAAACGCGGATTTTTATCTGTAAGTGATGGAGTTTAGGTAAATCTATCATTTCCAAGAGCGTAAAAATTCTCAAAACTGCTTCATTTTCTATATTTTACAATCCTCAAGTTAATCGCCGGGCCGTCATATCGTATAAGGACAAAATGGGATACCCCGGAGAAAAAAACGAGTGCTGATCTATCCAAGTTTCCGATCGCCAGTTATAGCAGGTACTACATTATTTTGGGTGTATGTCGAAAAACGCGCGTTTCCCTCAGCCTTCATTACCAGACTGGGTCAGTTCTCTGCAAAAGCAAGGTTTCTAGATTGCGAGATTTTTGTCAGTACATCAGAAAGTATAAAGAAAGATAACCAGTTGAAATCCGATAGCATTAAAATAAATTTGGACTATTTCTTGATTTCTCTGATTTAGTAAAAACCGATCAATACGCGCCTTACGACCGTCTCCCCATTATTTTGTCATCGATTGGCAGCTTTTTTCAAAAAGTTGTTAAATAAGCCTCAAAAAGTTTTCTCGGTGGTGGGTAGAGGAAAAGAATAGAATGCGAAAAATGAGATTTCTGTGTAGTTTGTTTTACTCGTGTGATTTGTGCTTCCTCAAATCTTTTATTTGCCACAGCAATAGGGGACGCGGAGTATAGAATGTAGGAGAGTAAATTTTAGCCTGAATCAGTTTCGGTTTAGGGGAAGACATGGGGGTGTTGGAATGACCTACATGAGGTGAAATATTGCGTAGATAAATTTTTTTCCAATTTCTACAATGACTCAGTGCTCTAAAAGAAGTGACTTGCAACTATAATATCGCCTTTTCCATATTTTCCTATCTTTAGAATTTTGGATAAACGAATGCAAGATTCTAAAAAAATTGATGACATGTAAGAAGATTCAGCTGCGCCATTTTCTCCTCTACAAAATTTCAGAGTAAACCCCATTCAAATTTGAAATATCAGAAAGAAATACAGTACTCCAATGAAATCCTTGACTTTTCTAAAATTTTTCTACCAGAATATTCAAATGCATTCCAATTTCAATAAACATGTAAGAAGCGCATTGCTTCTTCGTTCAAAAACTTTGCCCGATCCTAAAGCTGTGAGGGAACTTTTACTTAAGTAAACTATGGTTCTTTCTAATTTGTAGCTGGGAGACATAAATGGACAGTGCAAAACACAACTCAGTGTCCTAGAAACCGGTTTCTACTCAAACCTTTCTCAAACTTTTCACGCGTACTGATTGCTAGTGTTTAAGTTCATATTCTTGCTCACTGGCTCACAATCATGTGACACTTCCACATGTCTGAAATTACATCTTCATTATTATTTTATTTGATACGCACAAGGCGTATCCATCCAACACAGAAACGGAGCTTCACACTGAACAGCTGGCAGAAAAAACAGGCAAACACCTCGCTGAATCAGCTCGAGTCCAACCGGCAAAATCTTTTTTAGGGATAGAAAGGGACTGAGCTTGTTTGGACGAGTATGAAATCATCACATTTTTAGAAGTTCGATGGAGTCTGTCTCATGCCTCTGCTCTTAGCAAAAATTCTCTTATTCAAAAATAAGCAGCTGTACATTGGAAGCAGGTGTACCGGTAGTAATATTGGTAAAACCCGTCTAACCAACTCTTCTGGGGAGAGAGCAGAACTTCAAGAGAAGAGATTGCACAGTGGTGCAAAAAGTTTTAATACGAACAAGCTTTCCCAAGCATCACAGTGTAGTATGAATGTGTTAGAAAACCAAACATCAAATGGCAACGATTTGAACCAAGGTTCAATGAAATGATGGAATCGGAGCCAACATAAACTAAAATTTAACAAAAAAATTGTTCTTTGCATTTCCTCGACGACAATCAGCCAGGGACACCTAGATGAGACAGAAGAAAGCGCCCCGCACAGCAGAATTAGCCGAAAAACGATATGAAGCACTTGGACAAAAGTGAGGAAGAAATAAAAAAGAAAGAAAGAGGAATATTGAAATGAAAAACGAAATAGGAGCTAAAAAAAGAAAAAAACGAAGTGCTCAAAAAATCAAGCTTCAAACTAAGCGAATGAGAACCATGACAACCACATATCTTAAAGACCTAAACCCTAAAACCTAAGCACAACCTAATATATAATGCAACCAATCAAGAAGAAGTATCACTGCTCAAAAGTAGGGACAAATCAGCTTTTTTTCAATATTTTGTTAAAGGCTTCAGCTACTCGCTGACACAATATCGTTTACATTTGCAATCAAATAGAAGGCGTATAGACCAAAACACGGGCTCCTCAAAACTTGTTTTTTGCTTGCATTGCACTTTGCTCGAATCACTCTGGCAACGCCCTTTTCATTACCTGTACCTGAGTGCGGTAAACCATTCCCACAATGACTTTCATTCGAAGACATGAATCAGAACTCGTTTTCCTTAACTAGACCAGTTTTTTGAGTTTAGAACAGTATTAGTTTTGCACTCATGCCCGGAAAACTCTTGCTATTCTTTCTATTTTTTGAACCTCGATTTGTTCAAAAATATCACTGGGTTCTTCCCTGTTTTTCCCTCAGTCTCTCTTCACAATGACTGCGCATGTTTATTCTCAAGATCTCAGTCGTTTAATTACACTTAAAGTTTCTGCTCTAATACGTAGATTTATATGAAGTTCACGGTTGAAAGGTTCCATTTCTAAGTGCTAGAACTTCTCTTTACCACACAGATACATTCGTTCAAAATTATCAGTACAATGATAAATGCAGCTGATTTTTTACGGGCTTGGCAGTGAGACATTTTATATCCCATATAGCTTTTATAATCATTTAATCATTGCAGTTTCGCTCCAGCAATAGCATCCGTATGCTTTTATTGGACCTATCCTAGGCATTTGAAGCTATATTTGTGAAGAATATGCTTTGGGCCTTGTCGAAACAATTACTTTCGTCTTTTTCCTTTTCAGCGAGACTATCGTGCCAGTTTCTTCTCATCCGTTAGGCAAACAGTAGCGAACGGGGTGACTAAAAAAGTTGATGTCTATGACATGGTTAGAGAATTTTAAAAAAGAAACCAAGAAGTTCTCTCAAAGTTTCTCAAAAGATTGTCTGCGCCTTGTTGAACATTTTTAGGGTATTTTTTAAGGAACTATGCATTAATTTTATTTTCTGATTTCTTTGCTATTTAGCGTCTTTCTCTCCTTTTACTTCCGAGATATATGGAACTCAAACTATTTTAAACCTCAGTCTTTGTACTAATCTTCATAGTAATCATAAATATTCGTCATGCAGCAAGAAACGTGATGAAGGATTCTGCTATTAGAATGCGGTCCTCCCTAGACCAGTTTAACGCAGGTGTCACAAAAAAGGACAACCGGATTGTTTTGAATAACCCAACGACCGAATAATTGCACTTCCGTTCTGTTGTAGAATCATTCTTTTGCAATGACCGCCACTTGCCACTTGAAAATTCGAAACGATCAGATCCAAACTTATCTCTTTTCAGATTTTTTAGTTTTGACTTTTGATTTCTGACATCATGTTTTTTTATTTTGAAGCTAAGACCATGGTTAAGAGACTCTATTCGCGGTCATCATGCACTGTCATCTTTGAGCTAAGAAATGGTTTTGCGCAATGATTGGATATGAGAAAGACTTTTCAAGTCTGATTTTTTTGTACTCTTAATCATCACTTAGAGTTCCCAAATTGGTAAATCTTAAGCTAAGCTCATCAGGTCGTAATGTCCCAAGCACGAGTCTGTGACTACGTCAGTTGGCTCGAATTTTTCCATTCAGTTCAAATACGTTTCTGCAATCATGAGTTCGGTTTGTTTTTTCTGGAAACTGCTAATGGAAAGACAGAAGGGGTAATAAAAGCGAAATTTTGGGTTGTCAATAACATGTGATCGCTATTTTCAGGTTTTGAAGATGTAGATGTTATCTCGAAAATTTAAGCTTTCCTGTAAATTTTCTAAACTCGAGTTTCGCGAATATACTATTTAGGGAAAGGACTCATATGGGTGAAAATTGTCTTTTTGATTGTCCTTATTCTGCTGATTTTTCTCGCAAAAAACAGGGCAGAAAAAAGCAGGTGTGGTAACGTGGGAACTTACTACTTCCGTGGCATATGGAAAAATCAGGTTTGAAACAAGAAGCCATCTGTTCAAGAGTCGCCCAATAGACCTTATTCAATGGTGCAGAATCTTTCCTTTGTAGAACTCTTGCGCTTCATACTGTTTTTAAGATGTCTTCTTGCTGTTGTGATTGAACAAATTGATTTTATCCGCAGTGCTTTCTTCCCGTCAGTGCTAATGATCGATAGGTTTCGCTATGTACCAGCTACGAAGGACCATGCTGATAAAATTTTGGATTTTCTGATCAATCAGTTCGGCAAGTATGAGCCTATAAACGCATCGACAAGTAAGAAGAAGTTGGTTCCATATCCCACCATTCCATATAAAATTTAGAAGCCACCAAGGACGACCTGATTGATTTGTTCCGTGATACTGCGCATCACGGGTACACAAACGACAAATACTCCACACTGGTATATGATGGAAACCGGTAAGTAAATTGTGTGCGCATAAGAATTATAAGAGTTGGGGACTTAGATACTGAGAGTTCCTCGAAAATTACATTGTGACCGAATGCACGCAAAACCTTGTTCTAGGAAAACCTTCTTTGAGGGGGGTTGAGACGTGCTGTTGGATCCAGTGATTCCCAGTTATTTATTCTAATTCAATGAAAAAAGGGGAATGTAAATCATGATTGAATGACTGTAAATTACGACTGAATGACTTAGAATATGTGTTTATTATCTGCCAAGCGACTATTTGGAAGAACTTATGAGCGTTCAAATGTGCGCTTCGTCAAGTGTTCTGTGGCGCATGTTCCACAAAATACTTTTCAAAAACACCTTTTTAGGTTTTTGGTGAATGTGTTTTTTTTTGTAATTGGTGTAACCATAGTCACTGTAAATCCGCGTCATTAGGCTTCCTTCGAAGGAGATATATTCGTCGAAACTCAAAAAAAAGTCTCATGTTTGAACGCTCATAACTCCTCTCAGACACGCTTGGCAGTTAATGAACATATATCTGAAATTGGCGTTATAAGACGAGTCCGTGATATATAGCTTGTTTGAATGGCTGGGTTAAGTTCTGACCATTTTCTCGTGAGAAGATTAAGGCCTCGGACAGAGTTTACGCGATTTGATTGTCGCGATTCAATCGCGACAAGACAACTGTTACGGGTTCATTACATGCCGACCAGCTTGCATTTCGGTTGTGATACTTTTCCAGCTCGAAATTTTTGAATGTAAAATGAATATGAATGGAAATCGCGGCGGTTGAATCGCGACGATCAAATCGCGCGAACTCTGTCCGAGGCCTAAAGTGTCAATATTTTTTCTCCATCTTTTCTAAATGTTTCATGTAGCTTTCCAACCAAGCACAAACTTTTGTCCCCAACACCCAAACGTCTTTTTCCCTGAAAGTAACTCCTTGGAGTACAAACGCTTCCTCAGAGATTCGTAGCTTGTATGAATTAATGGAAACAACAATATTTTATCGAAATGTAGCCAGCAATGCATTATGTTCTGCTGTTGCGCGCAACCGTTTGCCACCTTGCCTTTAGACAATCCTTCTCAGAATACGGCGAGTCTGATCCAAATAAGTTATCTTCGTTTACATATTCGAAGAGTCAAGCAAATGCTAAAGGCAGTGTCCATGTACTCGATTTCTAGCAAATTTGCTTACCTGAGATTATCAGCAGCGCTGGTAGCTAAGATAGAGAGCGCGAATACGTCAAAGCAAGCGTGTACCAACGTTTTACTATTCGTTTGAAAGTGAAACAGTTATCACCTAGGCTGAGACGCAGAGTCGCAGAGGGACCCTATGACTTTAATTGCGGCGGCATGCGTACTTCGCCGCAGAGCAGGGAGCAGGAGAGCCCGCCACCATGACGTAAGATTCCCAACTCTCGGCCGTATTTCTCACTTTTAGTCGAACGTTGTTGTCGCGCACTTGCGCGATGCTATGTCCAAGGGGCCCATTCTCGTATGGCAATGAAATCTCAAAAACCCCAACCTTTCTAGAATACTGCGATAACGATGCAGTCAGTTTCCCACCCTCCCATAGGCATGCAAAGTGGATTGACAGTTGACCATTCGTCCACTTGTCGCATTCAACTGATCTACTCTCATCAGTTCCGTTCATTGGAGACGTGAATTGATGCAGATAGGTGCAAAAGACGAGACGCAGAAAACATTCCGGTAGGATGCTCCTGAGTAACGTACGATACACTTGAGTTTTCCCAACACTGCGAACAAAATCGGCGCAAAACTGCACAATACGGCATCCCGAAAAGGAGAGAATCAATGAACAGCCGATTTTGGCTTGGAAATCCAGAAAAAGATGTTTTTTTAAGTTTGCTGAGTAACTGGTGGGTCTCAGCGCGAACGTAGTGTCACCGTGTAACTCACTGTCGGGTTACGGTGCAAGTGGGAGGTTTGGGGACGAATTTCTCAACCGTGATCTAACCATTTGCGCTGCTCCTTGCGTAGTTCCCTAGTTAGGATCCACTTAACAGATTTCAGGCGAAAAACCCATGTGCCCATATCTGCATGGGCACTGTTTTTAAGCGTTTTGCAGATAGGCAAGACAGCTTCGGAGTCACCGTTTTTTGCCGTATGCAGCGTCGTTTGAATTGGCCACTTTGACTTTTGATCATTTTCTTGTAAGCATTAAGCAATGCTCAGAGACTTATGCGCAAGGCTTGAGTCCTCACCACATATACGTCTATCAAATTTTCTTACATATTGATAGTTGGTAAAAGTGATGGAAAATGGATAAATATATCGTCATAAACAGGCTGATAGCTATGTGCTTATGTTCGTTGTGCTCGACGGAGACGATGGACGCCCCATTTCCAGCACAAATAGATGTCAAAAATCACGACTTTGCGGAAGGTACATTTACGATGATTGCTTATCCCTAGATGAGATAATGCACACTCGTCGCATAGCGGCAGAGAAGTTATGAAGGCTTCTAAGGCTGAGTTAGATCCAGAACTTCCAGAACAGTCAGCGCAGAGTTTGACTGCAGTCGCCCGTATTTGTTGAGCGGCAAGAATTAAAGTTTTTTTTATCGTTCTCAGTTCCCTCTTTTACTCACTTTGACCTCATTCCTTATTCCGCTTTCCTGAGAAAAGCTTTTAGCTAAAACGGAACTGGAGAATGAGCGCTCTTCTGCTTCCATGTATTCGTTAAGATGTGTCCTCCCACGCTCATTCACGAACGAACGATAGATTAAATGGACGCTCATTTTCTAACCCCACCTCAGGATAAATAATCTAAACCCATTCAAAGGGGAAGCGGAGTGGGGGAATGAGGCCTACATGAGTGAGATTGAGAGACAAAAATTCTTTAACTGCCAGTGCTCGATAAGGCATGCGGGCAGTTGTAGCGCATGCATCGTTTTGGCACATTTCAAGGGCTGTGCTGGAACTGTTCCGGAACTTCCATGTCAGTGTGGACCCAGCCCAAGCAAGACCGATACCAGTAATATTACATTCATATTATTTATGCGTATTTTGCATTACTCATTTCACTGTACCTATGGATAGCTTTGGTAAGCAATCATCCTCGGATATGATCATGTTTTACATTTTAGACATCGTCAAAGGGCCCTATAAGCAGCACAAAGCCAACCAGATAATCATTTTTGTGCGCTTCCTGGAGGACACACTGTCTCAAATGCTGTCTAAACATAAATTCATGAAAATGGACATATTATGCGTGCACAAGGATTACATGGGGTTTGTGCAAAGCTTCCAGTTTTTATTGGGTTTTGCTGAAGTTGTTGTTTTAGTCAAGGCTTGGGCAAAGAGCTCAACCGATGGGCCATGCAAAATGCGCAAGCAGAGGGTTGTGAATACATAGCGACTGCTGCGACTGCAGCTGCTTCGCAAGCAATTTTTGCAAAGGTCTGTCAAAATCGTCTCCTTTTTAGTACTAAAATTGATAAAATACCTATAGAAATAAGTATATCATATTCATGACGGTTTTACTCTTAAATCGGACAAATGAAATTGTAGTCTGGTTGGAAAATTCTGTACGAGGTACCCTATGCAAGTTATCGTGAGAACGGCAATCCAGTGTTTCAAAATCTCCACGACGGTTGTCAAAGTGCGAAAGTTGTAGCTGCAAAGTTATACTAATTTGATCCCACATATCATCAATGTTTTCTTTGATTCGAAGTAATTACGCGATATCATCAACATGTAATACAAATGTTGCAAACATTATACGACGTCATATCATATTCACTTTGTCTCACCAATGTGTACATGTACTTGCATACTTTGATGTCTATAATGAGAAAAATAAAACATATTCAAACAGTTTGCTTTCGGCAAGAGTTCTGCTGAGTTCCTTTCTTGCATCATTATTTTTGATGAGGGGAGAGCACACCTGCTTTGAATTTGTCATCAGTATCATCTATTTTTTTGGAATCTTGTCATGCATGCGTTCTCTAGGTCTCTCGTACTTATTGTAGTAAGCGCTTATATAATTTTTAACAACTTGCAGTGTACAAAATGTTATGCGTTATAGTTAAGATCTGAGTAAATTTACTCTTTGATTTGCCTTCCTAAATTGCAATCTGTTCAAAAACATGAGCTGTATAACTTTACGATTCAGATGTTCTTAATGACTTGATAGGATGCAAATATAATAGATTTGCAAACTCACTTTGAGTTAAAAACTTACACGGGAACCGTGTCGAGTCGAAGTGGCCTTTCCAGATGAAAATACTGCTTTGAAGAGAATTAAGCGGTGATTCCAAATCTGCCTTCCAAATCTGCCAAGCGCCTTTGGATGCCGAGTTGTGACCGTTCTTCGGAACGATAAATGAATGCAGAATTTAGGTAAAATTGATTGTTACAATCTTTCCAGCGCTCAGATAAAGCAATGTTAAGTATTAGCATATTAAATAAAATGTATACATTGCATAAACAGCTCTGATACTTGACACTGGACCATTTGAGCAAATTTGGGCGATTTTGCTTTAGTTTTGCGTTCAATTTTTTGACCTGGAAAATGAGCATAACTCGGCGTCCAGAGGTGCTTGGCAGATTTGGAAAGCAGATTTGGAATCACCGATTAATGCTCCTCAAAGCAGTATGGGTTTCATCTGAAAAGGCCACTTCGACTCGACACGGTTCCCTTGTTAGTTTCAAACATTTCTGATTTACAAACTGTATCCTTCTGTTAAATCCTTGCCAGCTAAGTGTCATTCTCTGATATGGATTGAAGAGATAATATTTACTGTTTCCCGTTGTTCGCATCCACGTATTTCTCACGTAGCTAGTCGAGAAATAGTGCGAACAACGGGAAACAGTAAATATTATCTCTTCAATCCATATCAGAGAATGACACTTAGCTGGCAAGGATTTAACAGAAGGATACAGTTTGTAAATCAGAAAATGTTTGAAAACTAACAAGGGAACCGTGTCGAGTCGAAGTGGCCTTTTCAGATGAACCATACTGCTTTGAGGTACTTCAAAGCACCCGCATGTGCAATTTCCATCTAATAGAAAAGACAGCTTAGAAAATAATGATATTGTTTGCTCGAAGAAATCATGCATTTTCCATACTACATCGAGAAAAGAAATGTAGATTTAATAACAAATCTGATCTAATCAAATTTTTAGGTTTACTCAATCTTCATAATAAAAACAGCCAGTAGGCGGAGAGTGTTGCTAATTTATAGAAGGAGAAAAAAGGAGGACCTCTTTTTACCAAATATGTTATACGAGTGCGTCACCTCTGCTTCGCAGAGGCTCGCACTGGCTCTACTATCAACATGCCCTCCTCGTATTCGCAAAATGATGGCTTTTTACCTCGCGATGCCGATCATCACGAATGAAATGTAAACAACTACCCATTCCAAAAGTTTTTTCATGTAAAGTCGCTGACTTTGAAAGAAAAAGGTATTCTCCAAAAGATTAAATGCAATTCTGAATCAATTACTGGGGTTATAATAGCTTGATAGTCGCCACAAAGATGACGACAGCTGTGATTTACATCTCTGAGCAAAAATTTTCTTAATTTTCTCACATTCCCAGATAAAACCTTAATAAATCCATCATCTACGCAGTTATTCCTTTTTGACGCCAATCTTGCGTGAAAGTAATCTTTTTGCTCACTTTTCGGGATGAAGTCCATGTTTTGCGGATTTACTTGCTAAACAAAACCATGACTTCGGAAAAACTCTGATTACAGGCCCACTTTGGCGCGCGAAATGTCCCGTGGATCCGTTTGGCGCATATTTCACAGGTTCTAATTATTGGATCGGCTTGTGCTTTCGCACATTTCACCTACATGCTGATATGGTGCTACTACCAAAATTCTAGCTCAAGACCTTTGTTGGAACTCGCGCTATGAATTTTGTGACATTCTGTCAATTCTGTCAGTACTTTGCTATGCCTCTGCGACTGCAAAACAAGATAAATGGTTAGCATGAAATGGATTGAGTAATGTTGATTTGGCATCTGTCTGTTCTAGTATCAACATTTTCGGACTACGTGGCCTTGACAAAAGTGAAATCAATACGCATTGAGAAGCGCGTATATTAGGTTGCTGCATAAGTTCTGTCCGAATTTTTTTGCCTTATCTTTGAAACAGCTGTTCTAAGAGAATTTCATCTCTAATGCGGTATTGTTAGAACCATTAGAAAGTGCTTTTCTTGCGCTTTCTAAAATATATCAAATTTCAATAAATTTCTCAGTGTAAGGAGATTTCAGACCTAAAATCTCCAAGTAGTCGAGGTACGTTCTCATCCTAGAAATATGTTCTTCCCAGGAAATCTCCACAATGTGCCCTTTAGGTCAAGTTTTTTAGTTGGGTGCGGAATAAAGGTGTAACAGGCTAGCATATGCATAAGTTCAGTTTTCTGAAGGAAACGTCTTGCTAGTGAAATTTGTTGCCAAACATTAATTTTCTGTTTAGATGTTTTACAAGTAATAACTTTCTGCGAATAGAAGTAATCGACTTTGAAGTTGGAGGTGCTAGGGTAAAGCAAGGGCTAGCAGAGGCCATTTAACAACTTCTTTTCGGCGCTCACGTCAATTGTAAAATTTCATAATTCGTAAATAGGCATGCACACATGCGCTGAAGTGAGGTCAAAAAGTGGCTTCTTTTTTGTTCGGTTAAAAAAATCTCTCGCCAACGCAGACTCTATGGGCTTTTTTAAGTGACGACAAAAAACATCGAATGGGGTATTATTTAATAGAACATATTTTTTGAGTTATAAAATAATCTGCGAAAAATTCTCTATCTGTCCATTGTTTGATAAGAAGTTTTTGAGTTCTTGCTTCTTTCTTAACAAGGATTTTCGCAGGTTTCAATACGTATCTGATAGCCAAGGAGTTGCTCAGCACAATGAAACTAAGATCTTGGGAAAAAGTTGACTTTGAAAGAAGTTATGACATTTTGAACTCAAAAAATACAAATCGGACAGAACTTATGCAGCAACCTAATACAGCAGTACTGAGCTTTCACAGCGTTGTCATATTATAATACATTGTAACTCACTTGCATGGCAATCTTAATACCCGTGTCTCCCCATAATCAGCTGTCTGGAAGCACCGTTTCACATCCACATTTATTCTACGACTACTAGCTAGCATAACCGGCTTCGCGCGGCTTCATCAAAGTACTCGGTATATTCCCGTCATCCGGACCCATTTTTGTAACGAAAACTGTTGTTTTTTGCTTGTGCCTATTTGGTTCCAAGTTCACAGATAGGAGTGTCAGCCTTTCTGCCATGTGTCAAAAAAATTTGACATGTCATTTACATGTTTGACAGGTTTAACCGATTGAGTTGCCCTACCTAACAACGTAAGCTCAATCTGTTTTTTAGTTCACAGTGGCCGCATTTTTGATTGAACAGTATCAAAAATAAATATTCTTATCATGATAACGTCACTATGTTATTTATTCATGTACAGATGAGGCATGCCCAGAATAGAGAAGTGGGCTAAAGTGAAATGTATCTAACAAAAGAAAGGTTGGTCGAAGTGGCCTTCTGAGACGAGGTGCAAACCGTCTTGTAGAGCTTGGAACGCTGATTCCAAATCTGCTTCGCCATCTGCTGCAGACTTCTGGGCGAGAAGTTATGAAGGTTTTTGTGAGTAAAGCCAAAGGCAAGATTAGTGTAAAATCAGTTGTATTCCAAGCGCTACAAGATATTGCACATCTCATCTCAAAACCCACTTCGATCAACCTTCCTTCCCTTGTAGCGAAACAAGCAGCAGCGAGGAACTCAAAGCCATCATTTGTAGCATTGTCTGGCTAAATTGGCATGGCGAAAAGACTTTGAAGAGAAGAAAGTGCTGAATTATTGCTAAAAACAATGATGATCTAGTACAAAATCCAAATTGTTTTGCTCTTATAGAAAACAATTAAACCTTGAATGATCACAAATACTCTTTTGCTTCACTGGAAACGGTTTCGAATAAAAACATGTCAAAGTGGACCAAAACGTGCTAATAATTTCTTGACACGTAACGAGGCAGTCCTTCTGTAGCCGTATTCATCAACGAGCCCAGTGGATGCCGGAACCCACTGGGTAGGCTTAACACACGAGATCGGCATTCACGAAGCTATGGGATCGCGAACCCACTAGTTTTGGCATCTATGAAAAATGGTTTTTATACTAAAGAATGTATTCTATGAGGGCCTTTCGAAAAAAAAAACTAAGTGGGTAACGGAAATGACCGAGTACTCAGAGCTTTAAGCCTCTTGTGAAGAGAAAATCTTAATTCTTGCAATCAGCTCTTATAATATTAAGAACTCTTTATAAACATTTGAGGTCTGCGGTAATGATAGCAAATGATTAGCTAGCATAATGTCTGTCGTAATGGTAAGATCATTAATAATGATCTGCTACTACCGGCTGTCCACTTCATTCGGCAGGGCTTGGCGATGCTTCCTTCAAAAGTCGGCGACACATTCTTGTTTTCCTGAACACCTTCCTTTATGTTCAGTTATGGCAAGTAAGCGTTTGGTTTTTGCAGCTTGATATTGCAACAACTACTGCAGTCACGTAAATATTTCCCTTGTTCCAAATGACTACAGCTAACAATTCAACTCTTGTCTTACGAGAATATTGGAAAACGTGGCAGTCGTTACCGTAGAAGGTATACAACAACGCACACATATAAAACAAATAGTCTTTCCACTTGTGACAAAAACTCGTCCAGCTGGAACCTCAGAATTGTAATACGAACTGACATAGATTTTATTAGAATTTTGTTTTTATTAGAATTTTTTATTAGAATCAACGAATAACTTACATCTGTACTGATTCTCACCGGCTAGAACTGTATGTCGCCGATAGGCTCCACCCCAAGCGGGCAGCTAGTACAATCCTGTAATGTCTGCTACGTGCGGAGCTGTGCTTTGTTGAAGATGTCGGCCTAGGACCATCCCCTTTTGACGACATATAGTTCTCCTCCCCCTCTCACAAACAGTGTATTAGAATCATGCCTTCTATTTACAGAGGTGATAGTAGAAGTGATTTTTCCCTTTGCCGCGATGAACAAAAATCAATAAATTCATGGAAGGACTTAATGAATCCGCTTAGAAGTAGCCGCGATCCTTCTCCGGAGGCAACATATGTTTGCAGTTTTCAGCTCATTTAGAGCGCGCACAAAGGAGTCTATGAAAAGCATACATACGCCGAATTCACTTACTTTCTCTCTGTATATGTAGAGAGATTCAGCCTGGCAATCTTTGTCATTTGCTTTTGAAAGATTAACATAAACAATTTAGAGTGATTTGCCCTCATTGATTGCTAAGCTCCAGTCGAACAAACTATCGACAGAATTTGTTGTGGTACATGCTCCATCTAAAAATTTTGCTGTTCACTGGGAGCGTCTAGCCATTCCAGTAGTTTTTCGCGTATGATATCCATGGTCTTAACAAGAGTGGGAAGCAAGCCACTGGACGGAATTCTTCAATACGACGTGTTCCATCACTTTTGGAATAGCTGTAACTGAAGCTTCTTTTCGTAAGTCAGGAACCTCCCCACAACGGAATATGAATATATGTGCAAGCGGAAACGCAAGTGCAGAGGTGCGTTTAGCAGGTTAACTATCTGAGGATGCCATCAAATGTTTACACAAGGTTTTGGTCTACCAAGGAGACTGAGTGTGGGGAGCTTCAACCTCAATCGAAATAAACCTGTTGAATGTTCCATAAAATGTTTGACAAAATCATTTGTAAAAGTCAGAACACTAGGTATAATATTGGAGAAAGAGAGGAGAGCCTAGCACAAAGTAGTGAGTATCAAGAGACCAATTGTTAAAGGCAGCGGCTCGGCAGAATGACATTTTTGGGATCATCATTCTCGGTTCCTCTCGATGAGCTAAGTCCAAAATTGTGCTTTGCAGCTTCAAAAGATAATAATAGCCCGCTTTTCCAGACGTGCAAATTGCTATAGGGGCCGACGTATGCCTGCCTCCTAAAGCGCGATTGGCTCGTGAGTAAACACACCGTATCCACCGTACCCACGAGCCTAGAGCGCTCTAGAGGGCAAGCAACGCCGTCCACCCAAATTGCATATTTCACATCTGGAAAAGCGAGTTAATGATATCTTCTGAACTGCAAAGCACAGTCTTGGAGTTAGCTTATTCAGGGAAACCGAGAACAGTGAATATCCCAAAGTTGGCACTCTGCGGTGCCGCTGCCTTTAGCAGTGAGAAATGTAGACAAGGTAGTGGGGGCCAGGGAATCTAACATCAGTCTTGAGAATAACAATCCTATAATCTGAGCGCCGAATGGCGGAAGTGTGCACAGCGTGATATTCGGCAAGCCGAGAGCACAATGTCAAGAATCACCACAATGGATTAAGATTATCTACGAACTCTAAAAAAGGGAAACCACAAAAGACTTGCCATGCGATCTATTTGCAAATTAAAATCTCTGAAAATAATCGTTGGGACGTTCTCAGGAACAAAATTGCTAAGACTTTTTAGTAACCATCATCATTGTTCTGTTTAGGTTGTGTGGGCGGTAAGCCGTGGTAAGCTAAGCTTCCTAACCTCGAAAATGTCAAAAACAACTTTGTCAAATCAGCTTTGATTTCATCACTTACATCAACATATTGTGGCAAGAAAGTGGTTAATGATATAACACCCGCCGTACATTGCGCCTACGTCTAGCAGATCAGTAGATCAAGTACGGAAAACATTCCACAATTGAAGAATCCTGGATTTAAGAGTTTAGCCCAATTCACATAAAAATTCAATTAGGTTCTGTGTTTCCAGATGAAGTTTCACAAGAGATTATTATCGAGAAGACTACGAGCATTCAGCAGGCATACTTTGAAAAGGGGGAGACAAGCCCACCTGAGCTTTCTCTGAAAATTATGGAAGCGTGGAGATGTGCACCACTTCATTACGGTGGACTACATACTCTTTTTTCATTTTACCGCTGTTAATTCGCGAGCTTCAAATCTAAGCTCGTGATCCCTGTTTCTCTTCCTGTTTCTCTGGCCAAGATCATAATTTTCCTAACATATGCGTCAACAAAGAAAGAGGGACGCAGCAGCTTGGCGTTGGTCAAAGCTGAAAGCCAATGTACTCTTGATGGATACAACCTTGATCAGTCTGACCCTAGATGAGTTTAAGCTGCCCACACAATATTTCCGCTGACGACATTCGATCTTAAGCACGTTCAGATTACTGCACACCTTTTTATTAAGATCGCGTTGCCTCTCCTGGTACCGACATCCACCCTCAGCCTCGCTAACCTGGCTAAGGACCAAACTCCCCGACTTTTCTTGCCGCTCGGATCAATAACGACAACAGCGGTTGTAATTTTTTACATAGGAGAACAAGCTAATTCTCGATCATTTAATAACCACTCTTTTCTCGTATACAGATAAAGTTTTCAATCGACAGTCTGCTGAAATCAGAAGTCACTGTTTGACTACTAGCATCGCCATACCGTTTTGGGATGATGGGGATGGGCTAATAGACGTTTCTGTGTTATGCGTACTTCTAGTCATGACTGGTCCAACAAAAAGGTTGAAAAATCAAAGATTCGTAAAATTATGACAATCTATGCTAGACAATCACTAAAGGGGCAAGGTTATCACAGAAAACAAAATATGAGAACAAGGGAAAGATCGGCAGATTGAATAATAGGCAGGATGAATAATCAGGTGATAGATTTTTCAACGCACACTGAAAGAGTCACATGATCATTGGTACCACAAATAGGAGAAGGTGAATAAAAATGGTCAACACATTGACGACCAAAGATTTTCTCGGACTAGCCATCATTTTTCAGACAAAATCACGCACAATTCCCTTTACAGCACCCCTACAGTAGCATTGGGATGCTGGCAAAAACAGTAGTTGTAACTGATCTAGCATAAAAGAAAACTCCCAGAGTTATTTTGACACAAATTAGTAGCCATTCCAACAAGAGTCTTTCGGCTTCTTTTCGGAAAAAAGTTCTGAGTCAACGAAGATAGTTTCGGGATCAGCGTTGTAGGGCAAGCACTTTGATACATACATGGCTCCTAAATTGCAGAGTCGTTTGCACCAGCGGTCGCGCGCCTCGATCGATGGCGCCGGCGCCGGCAAAATGCCTGGGCGCGACGCGGTCGCGCGACCGCTGGTGCAAACGACTCTGCAATTTAGGAGCCCTGTAGCATATTTCTGAAGGCCACGGCTACCACTTACCCTTCCCCTTTTAGTTCAAAAATGAGGCGATCGGAAATAATGTTGGAAGCCTCTAATTCTAGGTCATTGAAGTGAGAGAGTGACTTATTGTTCAAATGAGGCTTTAGGTGCATGAGCAAGCAAAAAGTAATTGATGCTATATTCGGCAAATATGGCGGGCATGGCCTTGTGAAGCTTTTCTGAGTTGTGCTGAGTTGCTTGCCGCACTTGCTTTCTCATTTTCCTGATACAATATATTACTGCTTACCTTGTTTTTCCTGTGCACATTTAGCCATGCAAGTGATTGCGGTGATTGGTACGGTGACTTTCGGCCAAGAAGATGTTAACGAACAGATTCAGGTAACCATGAGAATGAAGGTGGGCTGCTGTGTAGCGCTCGGGTAACTTTCACTGAATGTTGTAACTTCTCGTTTGAGAAACAAGAGTAGTCTAGAATGACCTTTTTTAATGATTGTGTCTCCACCTTCAAATTGCTCGAAAAACGATTGATTTTTTGATATTAGGTTGGCTCGATCGTTTTTCGAGCAATTTGAAGGTGGAGACACAATCATTAAAAAAGGTCATTCTAGACTACTCTTGTTTCTCAAACGAGAAGTTACAACATTCAGTGAAAGTTACCCCGAGCGCTACACAGCAGCCCACCTTCATTCTCATGGTTACCTGAATCTGTTCGTTAAACTGAAGGCTCGAAAAATTGGGAAAAATTCATATTTTTGTTTAATTAATTCATTCGGATCTTCAAGCTGCTCAAGCAAATTGTGCACCACACCAAACACTCATATGGGCCGTTTCTGTATTTCTTCCTCATCTAGAAATAGAGAAAACGAAAGTTCTCATGCTTTACAAGAATGAAGCTACATTATTCCTACTCATGCAATTGTAGGTACAAGCCCTTAGAAGTATCCGTAATTTTTCAGCTTTTTAAAGGCCCTAGTTTCCAAAACTTATCGAATTAAGCTCTTTTCACTCGGGTGTTCCATGCGAGATCAATATTTTCCGTAAACAAGGGCCTATAAAAAGCTGAAAAATTACGCATACTTTTAAGGGCTTGTACTATACAATTACATGAGGGGAATAGCGTAGCTTTGTTTTTGTAAAGCATGAGAACTTTCTTTTCTCGATTTTTAGATGAGGAAGAAATACAGAAACGGCTCATATGAGTGTATGATGTAGTGTACAATTTGCTTGGGCAATTTGGGGATTCGTGGGATTCATTACAAAGACATGAATTTATTTCCGATTTTCCGAGCCTTCAATAAGACTCAGATTCTGGATGCAAACTTACGCTGAGTCGAAGCTGG